GCTACTTGAAAGTATTTAAATATAAAAATAATCTCCATACAAATTACAAAACATTCAAAGTTCAAACATCCTAAAATCACAAAACATTAAAATTTCAAAAGATATATCATTTAAAAAACAAGCTTTTGGTTGATTTTGCCTATAAAACCATTAAACCAACATAACAAACGTAGGAATGATCATAACACATAGTCACATACACATGTAAACCTGATAATGATTTGGGTTGGTTATGTTGTCAAATATCAAAGGCCTTAACCAATGAGTACCAAGTAATATAATTGAGTATGAAACATTTTTTCACGAACATTATTAACGAGTATCAAGTCAAATAATATAAACAAGTATCAAGTCGAGAAACGAGCCAAGTAATAATTTCTTTTTACTGACTTGATACTTAGCCCGGACTTGCAAGTAATGCAATATGTTGACTTGACCGGGACAAGTACTTACTTTTTCAAGCCGGGATAAATATGGTTTTCTATTAGATTTATCATTATCACCATAAATTAAGTTTCCTAAAATGGTTGCAGCTAGAAGAACAGATAAACCGTTTTATGACTTGCGCTCCATCTTGAAGGAGGCACTCCGTTTTACAAAAGTTGCATTCAACAACTTGTTACAAAAAAGAATTTTGGTCTTGGTGGGTTCATTCTTTTACATTGATCATTCATTTTACGTTTAGAAAACCAAAAGAAGTTTGTATATAAGTAGATATCAGATCATCTTCATGGTCAAAATCATGCGTCTGCTGTTTTATCCTACATTTGAACTCACTGTTTTCCCTAAGAGATTGCTAAATTAAATGTAATTGACCAGATTATTCCAGAACGCACATTCCTCTTAAGAAAAATTCAAAATTTTAATGTTAAGAAATGAAATACACCATTGACCAAACCCAGGAAAATGAGACAACTTTAAAACGCAAACTAAAACATAAATAAAATTCAATCACAAATCCGATAATTGGCAACATTTGTTAATGGGTGTTTTCTCCAATCTCCGAGGACCCAAAATCGGATCGACCCACGAACAATTGCCCCATAGTCAATGGCTCTCCTTCGTCTCCTTCCTCTTTCAAACGAAAAGTCTCGACCTTGTTGCCGATCTGCGTGGCTCTTGTTGTAATCATCGAGATCGGGTTTCTGGGTCGCCTCGATAACGCTGCTTTGGTCGGTACGTTGACGGAATTTTTCACCAAGTCGCCTTCGGACTCACAATCCACGACGAGTCCATCCGATTTGAAGGTTAGGTCGGGGACGGAGAGATGCGAGGAGTGGTTAGAGAGAGAGGATTCAGTGAGTTATTCAAGGGATTTCAGTAAAGATCCCATCTTCATCTCCGGTGGGTCCAAGGTTTGCCATTCTTGTTTTTTCAATTCCTCTATGATCAAAATGATGATGATGGATTGTTCAATGATAAGTCAAAGGGATTAAAATGCTCTGATTATGGAATGTGCAAAAGTGATTCTTCTCATAGTTAGAAGCATTGATGCTTGGGAGGATTATCATCTTATGAATGGTGGTTATAAACTTCATGCCTCTCAATTGTAGGACTTCAAATCGTGTTCTGTTGATTGTACATTTGGAAGTAGTTCAGATAAGAAACCCGATGCAGCTTTTGGATTACATCAAAAAGCTGGAACACTCAGTATAAGACGTTCCATGGAATCAGCAACGTACTACCAAGATAATGATCTTGCTCGGGCACGACGGTGGGTAAGCACAATCTTAAGAGGACTTTATACTTTTAGTGTACATGTAGAATGTTGTAAAAGTATTAAACTTTTTATGTGTTCTTGTTCATAAGGAAGGGTTATGATATTGTGATGACAACTAGTCTGTCGTCTGATGTTCCCGTTGGGTATTTTTCGTGGGCGGAATATGATATTATGGCTCCAGTGCAACCAAAGACCGAGAAAGCTCTTGCTGCTGCTTTTATTTCCAATGGTGGTGCTCGGAATTTCAGGTTGCAAGCTCTTGAAGCCTTGATGGAAGCGGATGTTAAGATTGATTCTTATGGTAGTTGTCACCGGAACAGGGATGGGAGAGGTATTTATGCAATTGCTAGCGATTTTATGTCCTAACCTTATCGAGTCTTTGAAGTTTTTGAACCAATAATTTGTGGAGATAGTAACTTCAATTCATTACAGTGGAGAAGGTTGAAGCTCTTAAGCGCTACAAATTCAGTCTAGCTTTTGAGAACACCAACGAGGAGGATTACGTCACCGAGAAGTTCTTCCAATCTCTTGTCGCTGGTATTGATAGCC